AGACCTCTGGACCCTACTTCGATTTTTGCCCTACAGGTCTGTGGTTCGAATCCCTTACTTCTCTGGTGCCTACGATGACCTACCTGCAAGTGGCTATCCTACAGGTCACAGGTTCAAGTCCTACGACTACACAGGTATTGTACACAGGTAAGTTGGGGAACTAGGGATCGAGCCCTGGGACCTACATCAGCTACTTCGAACTGGGGAATACCGTTTCACTGGCTCCAGGGAAACAAAAAAGAGGGTGCCTTTGACAACTGTGTTAAAAAATGGGACACTGGTCCCGCTCCCCAGGGGCGGGCTCTTAACCCTGTCGGATGGATGGAAACATGCGTAATTATATGGTTGATGTTTTAAAAAAAGAAAAAAAAAAGAAAAATGGAAAGGGAAAATTGTTGAAATAGTAGAAATACCCCTACAAGCTTGGGTATTTCGTCAGGTACCCCTAAAACACAGGGTGAGCTGAAATGCCCTGAACTTCTGCATCCTCCCCCGTCCCGCTCATTGGCAAATTTGCCATATGCCCTTGCCCTGGCTGCAGGGGCCCGTGCATTTCTTTTGCCATCTGCAGGGTCCAACGGCCAGAAATACCGGCATATAGACAAGTTGCCAAGGGCCCGGTAGGGGTACTATATGCAAACGATGACAGGTCCAATTGGAAAGTGGGGTATTTCAGAAAGTTCCGTCACTGCCAGAGGGGCATTTCGCCATACGCATGCCTTTTAAGGGTATCTGACGAAATACCCAAACTTTCAGGGGCATTTCAACAATTTTCCCAAGAGAAAAGAAGATCAAAGAAAAAGAAGATGAAATCCGGCGCTCAGATAAGATCTGCGGATTACCTATAGAATAAAATTGTAAAACAATCTTGTATTTGCTTTTTGTCTGATTTGATTCTTGGAATATAAAACTTAGAATACAGAATTATAGATCATATTTGATTGAATAATTTCCTATAATGGGAATGAAATGAATATAAAGAGAATAAACACTGTATTCTATCCAAATAGACAGCAGTGGGGTACCTGCTGGCCTGATCTAAATCCTGCTCAGCAGACACTTTTTATCCATGCCGCCAGGATTCAACGTGTTATTTTCTTTTCGCGGTCGTGTTCGGGAGACACTTTCTATTATTCTATACTTGCGTATCATATCTTTCTGTGTGATTTTCTTCCTCTCTCTCTCTCTCTCTCTCTCTCTCTCTCTCTCTCTCTCTCTCTCTCTCTCTCTCTCTCTCTCTCTCTCTCTCTTCCTCTCTCTCTCTCTCTCTCTCTCTCTCTCTCTTTCTGCTTTCTGGTCTGTCCCTCTTTATGGTATGGGCTATCTTAGGGTGGCCGTCATATGAAAGACCTGTGCTAATCTTGTGGAAATTGGCTTGCTCATGGGATGTATCTGATTTGACTTCACCACGTATTAACCATATGTGCTTACATGCTGTTCTAAATGCTGTTAAAGCCTTACAGGACTTCCATAGGATTTGTGGTTTTGTCCTCTACATCACTGAATATACACATGCTACACTTTTTTTTTTTTTTTTTTTTTTGCGAAGTCTGAACCTATTGGGGATTTTCCAGATTGGGAACCACAAGACACAAATTAGCACACTTTGTGTTAGGGCCTTGTTAGACACTCCGCGGAAACACGACTCCAAGATTTCGTCGTCGTTCCACCTGTCCTGGGAGCCTATTTTCGAAAAGAAAATGTGAAAACACTCCGAGGACAATCCTTCGGCTCCGAGGATTTCCCAGGCAAATCGTCCTCTGGTCCGAGGGACCTCGCGGGGTCCTTTGGAGCCCGAGGATCCACGAATCGTGGGGTGGCGGCGTCAAGCTTCGAAGCAAATGTGCAGGCGGTAGGTGGTCCATTCGTGGTCCGCTGACCGGAAGAAGGACATCGTGGGCCGTCCTTGTCGAAGAGGTCCTACAACGACCTCCAAAGTTACCATTAGTGGCGATTCCCGGCGTGGCGCATCGACATCTTCAGGTGGCCGCCGGGGGTGGTCTTGCTGTTTGGGTGGGCCTCCCAATGGTCAGAATTTCAGATTATGTTGCCGTTCTCACAACAAGCCGCTCATTGCACGAATGTGCTTTGTCGTCTTCTTGATTGCCGTGTGACAGATGCGACGATGCAAATGCGTGTGCTGTCTTGCCTCCGCTGTCGTTCATGTCTGACGTGTACCGCAGGCTGCCACTGCAGCTGCTCATCACTGTGCTGCTCTTTGTCGTTGTTGTCTTCCATATTTGTTTCCTCGGGCATCTTCCTGGAAGGAAGCCGATGAGGCGAGCGTCAAACACGGCAAGGAAGATGGACAACCGTCTGACGAACAGCACACCCCCATCGGGGCCAGGGGGGTCTTCACGCCAGTGATGCACCACCGTGCAAGGTGGCAGGCGGCCATACGACCCGATGCTGTACAGCCACCTGCCAACGCATGAGATCCCATTGCCTCCAAGTGATGACGAGGGCGGGGAGAATCGATCTTCAACGGGTTCCGCTGGGCAGCGGTTCCAGGCAGGATTGGATGCGGAGCCAGTTCTTTACACGGCTAACGACACCGACGTACACAGAGCTGCAGGAAGGACGGACCCCCTGCAGCAGGCCTCTATCTGCCCTGGCCTACAGCCAGGGCCTATTCGGCTATTTACCAGTTCGGCCTGTGGGACCAGGCCGTGGCCTGACCCCACAGGCCGTGTACTGTTTCAGTCCAGTCCAGTCCTGCCCAGTACCACTGTCGGTACCAGTCCAGTCCAGTCCAGTCCAGTCCAGTCCTGCCCAGTACCACTGTCGGTACCAGTCCAGTCCAGTCCAGTCCAGTCCAGTCCTGCCCAGTACCACTGTCGGTACCAGGCCAGTCCAGTCCAGTCCAGTCCAGTCAGTCCGCTGGGGGTATACCCCAGCTGCAGTCTGTATGTGGTCATTCTTCACTTTTGTACATCTTGGAATACGTGCGTGTTGAGTCTGCGTCGGAGTACCCTTTACCTACAAACTCACATACCCATTCTACCACCTTCAGGATTGACTCATGAGGTAGACGTGTGAACATTTCTTTGATATCAAAACATGATGAAATAAGGCATCCATCCTGAAGCTTAGAAACACTTCTATCGAGGTTCCGTATCCCATCCTTTAAGAGACAAGTAGCTTTGAGGTTGAAGTGAGAATGCTGGGGGAGACTCTAGAGTAGGAAGTCGATTGCCTTGGAGACGATCTTACAAGCCCTGACGCTAGGTTCTGCATAGGATGGAGCTATTGGGTGCCATCTCGAGGTGTCCTTGTGCTTGGGGATCCCGTAGCAGCATCCAAGCTTACCCGTGTTGTTCCAAAGTGCAATCTTGCCTGCTCCAATGGCCTCGTAGTCCTTTTCGCAGTTTGCTAATACCTTATCTGTACTCAAAATAACTTGAAGTTCCTCAAACCCGGGATTGTCCCAACATAACTTGGTTAGAGCCTGATGATAGAGTTTACTACAGCAGACCAGCGAGTCACCAATGTTATGTTCAACAGGACATACTACTAAGTTCTTAGGTTCCTCTTTCCATTCCAACAAGCGTACAGTGCTATTATCGAGCTGCACCGGCTTGGTAGCCGGGCATCTTCTCAGGTCACTGCCTGAAAAGCTGGGTGCACTTACACATTTAGCTGTGCTAGTTACTAGTAGGTTTCGAACAAAACGTTCGGGAGGTATGGAGTTCCGTGAGTAAGTCAAGAGGGAAGGCACTTTAGGAAACTCAGTAAAACAAAACAGGCTATGGTTATCCTTTTCCCTGGGAAGGCCAGGGTTTTTATCATGACAGCAACACAGCTGGTTTAATACCCTGGCAATTTGAGGATGATTGTGAAGTACCCTCCCAATAGTCTTGGGACTGGACCAGATCAAGCGAATTCGTGAGGTAATGAACTCTGCTATGCATGGAGGCTCGAAGTGCCTCCTAACTTCCCTTTTAACACCGCTAACGATCTCCTTTTTCCTGATAGCTTCAGAGAAGACTGACTTAATCATGATCACAGATAGGCAGTTAGTGCCACTTTTAGTCTTCAGCACCCTTCCTACCACACCTTTGAGGATAGACCTGGTTCTGGCGTTAGTGAAGTATTCTGTGCAAGTGTTCTCAGACATGGCCCCGATATCTCAAAAGAAGAGGTCGAGGGAGGAGGAGATGGTGGGATATCATGCATCCTACTAGTGAGAGGACTAGCTGGTAGGATGGGAATAGGGTACAGCAGCAGCGGAGATGGTGGTTCTGTTGCAGTAAGTCTTGCCGGAGTGGGGTACAGGGGATTGATCGGGGTGTCTGAGTCTTTCTCTGAATTGTGCATATGTTTTTGTTTTTAAAAAAAGAGGTGAGTGGGAGAAGTAGATGGTGGGATATCAAGCGTCCTACTAGTGAGGGGGCTAGCTTGTAGGATGGAAATAGGGTACAGCAGCAGCGGAGATGGTGGCTTTGCTGCAGTAAGTCTTGCCGGAGTGAGGTAAAGAGGATTGATGGGGGGTTTCTGAGTCGTTTTCTGAAGTTTGCCTGTTTCTGAATTTCGTCGTAGTAATTCTTTAAGTAGTTCAAATTTTTTCTTAGCCAAAGCCGGGTAATGGCCCCAGTATTTCAAACTTTCAAAATTCGATGTAAATTTCCATATGGGATGTTGGGCCCAGTTTCGAGCACATGCTGCTCCCCACGAATAGATTGGAGCCTTGTTCCCCAAAAAAAAAGAAAAAAAAGTAATCGATTCTGTGTTGTTATAGAGTTTGACCAACGCACCGACTTCAAACTTATACAGCAGTCTTCTGGAGGAAGGCAGAGTCAGGAGAGAGATTAGAGAGATTCTCCGTTGCTGCGTTAGGCTATTAGCCATCCCGATGTGCAGAAAATTGAACCTTGCATAAAACGAGATCTGTCATCTTTAAAAAAAAAATTATTATCGCTATCGTCACTAATGAATTGGTTGTCGAGCCCCGGCCCCGGCGTGGGTCCGGGGGTCCGGGGGTGGGCACCCCCAACCCCGGCTCCGGACCCCCCCCCCCCCACAAAAAAATAAAAAATAAAAAAACAGTGGGGGGTGCGCAGCGAGAGCACGTACCCCATGGGCTAAACCCCAAAAATGGGGTTTCGTGCCCCACCCAGGACCTCCCCCGGGGCCACACCCACCACTGGGGGGACCGGGGTAGCTGC